TGGGTCAGACATTACAACCCAATGTTTGGGTAGTTTTTGTGTTACTCAGATCCTGGGTCAGACATTACAACCCAATGTTTGGGTAGTTTTTGTGTTACTCAGATCCTGGGTCAGACATTACAACCCAATGTTTGGGTAGTTTTTGTGTTACTCAGATCCTGGGTCAGACATTACAACCCAATGTTTGGGTAGTTTTTGTGTTACTCAGATCCTGGGTCAGACATTACAACCCAATGTTTGGGTAGTTTTTGTGTTACTCAGATCCTGGGTCAGACATTACAACCCAATGTTTGGGTAGTTTTTGTGTTACTCAGATCCTGGGTCAGACATTACAACCCAATGTTTGGGTAGTTTTTGTGTTACTCAGATCCTGGGTCAGACATTACAACCCAATGTTTGGGTAGTTTTTGTGTTACTCAGATCCTGGGTCAGACATTACAACCCAATGTTTGGGTAGTTTTTGTGTTACTCAGATCCTGGGTCAGACATTACAACCCAATGTTTGGGTAGTTTTTGTGTTACTCAGATCCTGGGTCAGACATTACAACCCAATGTTTGGGTAGTTTTTGTGTTACTCAGATCCTGGGTCAGACATTACAACCCAATGTTTGGGTAGTTTTTGTGTTACTCAGATCCTGGGTCAGACATTACAACCCAATGTTTGGGTAGTTTTTGTGTTACTCAGATCCTGGGTCAGACATTACAACCCAATGTTTGGGTAGTTTTTGTGTTACTCAGATCCTGGGTCAGACATTACAACCCAATGTTTGGGTAGTTTTTGTGTTACTCAGATCCTGGGTCAGACATTACAACCCAATGTTTGGGTAGTTTTTGTGTTACTCAGATCCTGGGTCAGACATTACAACCCAATGTTTGGGTAGTTTTTGTGTTACTCAGATCCTGGGTCAGACATTACAACCCAATGTTTGGGTAGTTTTTGTGTTACTCAGATCCTGGGTCAGACATTACAACCCAATGTTTGGGTAGTTTTTGTGTTACTCAGATCCTGGGTCAGACATTACAACCCAATGTTTGGGTAGTTTTTGTGTTACTCAGATCCTGGGTCAGACATTACAACCCAATGTTTGGGTAGTTTTTGTGTTACTCAGATCCTGGGTCAGACATAACAACCCAATGTTTAGATTTTGTGTTACTCAGATCCTGGGTCAGACGTAACCCTGTGGTTGAGTTAGCTTATTTATCACGGGATTCGAGCTCTAAGCGCCATCGAATTGATGCGTTTCTTCAGTAAAATACAGGTTTGTGTACAATTTATTTATATATAAAATAGTTACTGTTGTATATCGTTCAATTTTATGCAAAACATCATACAGGCGCGCTGGTGTGAATCACCTAACAGTTAAAGGAGTGTCACGTCGGTCTTTTCGAGTGATGGAAAAGCCTGATGCTTTGCATAAAATAAACGATTTTATTTATAAAGATACAGAATATAAATACTTTGGATGTTAAAATATGTCCTCAGAGCGGTTTAGCCTACTGTTTATGGCATGTTTCGGCTAGAGTTAAACGCAGGGCGGCGGTTAACGGATCCGTTTAGCAGTTTCCCGCCGAACACGATTCCAGCTCGGGCACGAGAACCAGCGCTAGCGCCGTTACGGTGGAAACAGAATAACAATCTGGCTACGTTCACACTGTCAATTTTTGAGATTAACCGCGTTTACTTACTTTTACTTGTGTGTCTCGAAATGTCCTGTTCACACAGCAACTTACAGTAGCTTCTCGAATACTGTCTGTATGAACGTGCAACGGGAGTCAAGCCTGTGTTCCGCAGTAACCATAGCGACAGTGACCAAAGTTATATCAAAGATGGCGACGTCCATGAAACTGAAAGTATTGTCACTTTCTGACACGACAAGTCAAATTGAGCCGCAAGTTCATCCGTCAAATCTTCATTAACCGACAGCAGATTTTATATTTGGGTGGAGAGCGGAGCATTTGAGTCGCGCGCAGAACACAAAACTGACGGGAGCGGCTCCGGTTGAGAAGACTGGATCTAAAACTTTCAGATGACACACAGCTCATTTCTCCGTCACTGAAAGTTACTGAAACCACACATGAAAACACGCACCACACGGGAAACATGCGTTTGTGCGGCAGAGCGGCTCCCTCTCGCACTGTATGTGAAGTGACTGTTCCGTTCACACAGCGCGTGTTCCGAGAATGCGGTTGTAAGTCCTGAAAATGTACTAGTGTGGGCTCGGTTACAGAATTCGGTTGTCACGCCTGAAAACAACCGTACCGTGTGTGAACGTAACCGTATTAAGTACTCAAGTACAGGCCTGACAACCGTCTGCTGCTGTGTGAACGTGGCCAGAAGAGACTGGTCGATTACACCTGAAATAATGTTGAATTTTTACTTCTAATGTTTGTTAAACGAGTTTAAATATAGTCGATATGTATAGCCTTAAAAACTATATAAACAATGCTGTAAATGATATATCATACCAACTGTGGTGTTTGTGTGGAGTTTGTATTTGACACAAGTTTAGAGGATTTAAATTAATCTGTAAACATTATTTCATATAACGTAAAAAAACAACAACAAAAAAAGCTAGTATTATAGTAAAATGAATCAACCCATTAGCTGGGTTAAATAAACAACCCAATTTTCTGGGTAAAATTAACCCAACATGTGTTCTGTCCTATATTTACCCAGCCCAGGGGTTGAGCCCCAAATTGGGTCGTTTTTAACCCAGTTTTTTTTTTTTTTAGAGTGTATGTGGACTGAAAATGTGTAACTGTAACTTGATCAGTTTGGATTTTTGTACTAAGAGTTTTGAAAATGTATGGGAGACGAGGGATGGTTGTAACATGTTTGGCATTTCTATCTGTATCTTGGAGTTCTTTTAAGCCAGTGCATTCTAAGTGTGATACATATAGTTACAAGTGCTATTACATGACGCAGCTGTTATATTTGCAGCACAAACAGTGCTGCAAACAGTTTAGTTTCAAACATGAGGAGTGAAATGTTACAATTCACCTCATAGTCTGGGTTAGTTTTAACATACCATTCGGGATTATGACCAAAAAATGGATTTTGAAAGTTTTTAAGGTAACACTACTTGAAGGGGTGTGCATAAGACTGACATGGCACCTTCATAATCATGACATGACACATGAATATGAAGGAGGTTTTTTAATGCAAATATGACATTATTTGACCTAACCCTACCCCTACTCGGGATTATGACCAAAAAATGGATTTTGAAAGTTTTTAAGGTAACACTACTTGAAGGGGTGTGCATAAGACTGACATGACACCTTCATAATCATGACATGACACATGTCATGAATATAAAGGTTTTTTATGCATGTATATGACAACTGTCATTAAGTGTCATTCGCTCAGTTATGTAATTTTTAATGCAAAGATGACATTGTTTGAGATGTCTTTGTTATGGGCTATGGTTAGGGGTAAGGGTAGGGGTAGGGTTAGGTCAAATAATGTCATATTTGCATTAAAAAACCTCCTTCATATTCATGTGTCATGTCATGATTATGAAGGTGTCATGTCAGTCTTATGCACACCCCTTCAAGTAAAGTGTAACCGTTTTTTTTTTATTCAACACCGACTTTTCAACATAATTAGTGTGTGTGTGTCTGTGTGTGTGTGCAAGCATGTTTCTCTCAATGTAATGGCAATTGGCCATAATAAATGTGAAGGTGAACACTTGAATTTAATTGTTTGTGTGAGCATTACTGTCAGTTATAATTCAAAATGCTGAGACATCACTCAGTTTGTCTTTCTCTTCCAAGACTTAGCCATACCGAAATGAGTACTGATACTAGTACTGATAGAAATTAGTATTGATACTAGTTTAAAATCAAAAGTAGTCTTGACATTCCCAACAAGACTGAAGAGGAATATGGGAGAAACATTGTGCCATGAATGAAAAAGTTAGAAATCCCCAAATTACCATCCTTACAAACATTTACCATGGGTGTACTGTAGCAACATTAACTCGTGTTTTAGGAGAAATATTATATATTCAAATCGAATGCTATATTATTAATATAGTCATGCAATTTGTAAATTTATAGGGGAGTAAGGGAATATAATTAGTTTTTGTTACAAAACTATGCCAGTTTGTGTGTGTAGTTTTTACCCGTGTTTAAACTTGTTTTTTGTTTTTTTTTAATATAGTTTTATAGAAACCTTAACATTAATTATAGTTACATTTAACCATGGTAACCATGCATGGTTTTACCTGTCGTTAACAACTCAGTCAAAATACTTTAACCCTATAAAAATTGTTAACCTTAGATGTTACTGTTGGTAATATTAGTTTATTTTACTGCTGAATATGCATTTTAATTTGTAATTTTTTAGGCTCCCACCCCCTTGCCCCCCCTTCTAATTTTCAATTTGATAATCCGCCCCTCAAATGAAGTTAACTGCATAGCCCTGATATAAATTATGAAAACAGGGGTGCGTGATACATTGCATGGAAACCACCAAATATAGTTCAGTTTTCATGATTGAAAAATGTGTTTTGCACATTTTTGTGACTAATCAGAATCACGTAATAATCCATAGTGCTTTGTAATAAAATGGGTGTTTAACTTCTGAAAAAGTTAAAACCTGAAAATTGTAGTACTCAACAAATAGTCGTTAAAATAAACTTTCAAAACTCAAGACATGTTAGTTATTTGGAGTTATTAATCAACCAAACGCAGTTTTGTTACCAACAATCCTAAGTTAACCAGGTCATTCATTGTGTGACCTGATATTTGTTAGGTGCATATTGTTCCCTGCCATTAAAATAGCTTTAGCAAAATGCATTAGTCACCTATAGGGATTACAGCGAATTTGAGAACAGTTTGATAATTTCGGCTAAATGAAAAATATTAAATCACTGGGTAAAAAAATCCAGAAACTTGATTACTAAACACTGCTTTCATTGTTAGAAGGTACATGTGAAAACCTTGTAAGCATAAAATAGAATTTAGATGAGAATACTGTAACTACCGAAAGGCAGTAAAATGATGAAGGTATCTTTATTGAAAAGCAAACAAATCTCGCATAAAAAGGTCAGTGGAAAAAGAAATCGGGGAGGAAATAAAATCAACATTTATCACATTTCACCAGGAGACACTAGGGCAGGGTTTGGAATTGAATGTTGGTTTCAAGAAAGAAGGACATTTTAAAACCGTCCAGAGCGTTCTCTATCTCTTGACCTCCGTCTCTCTCGCTCTCTTCCTCCTCCTCCTC